ATTCAACCTGTATTTATACAGGTTAGTCTCATTGAGCCTCGAGGACTCTTTTACATGAGAGACCTGTATATAAATATTAGCAGAAGGTGTGTTTTCAAGTTTGGACCCTGCTCTTTTACTTCTTTTAGCTTCTAGCTAAGACTTAAGCTTTTAGCTAACATTTTGCTTCTTTTAGCTATACTCTGCTTTAGCTTTAAACTAGCAACAGCGTATTTAGCGCTATCCATGGTGCTGAAAGTCTCAGTTTTCTGGTAACGTAAAAGAAATTAAATAGTCTCTTTCTGCTCAACATCAGGGGTCAATTGTACATTTTTTTCAGGTAAGGACTTTTTTATTGATCCATCCTCCACAAAAGGTGGGTCTGTGTCGGTGGTTGTCTGTCTATTAGCAAAATATAATGGACCACCAGACTGAGTTTGATTAAACTCTCAAGAAGTCATTGTGTGCATCTAACTGTATAACTTTTGGAGCCATCCTATTCAAGATGGCCGCCACAGCTAACAGACCTCAGCTAACACAAAAATTGCTAACTCACTAAGTTTTATAGATATGCTACAATTTGGCGTGATAGCTGAATGTTATGTCCAACACGTGCTGAGCATTTACAAATTGTGCAAAATATTTGTTAAAATCTTTGGCATTAAGAGTTTGAGTCAGCCCTGTCGATCTGTTAGTAAAATATCTCATGAAGACAGTGGTGTGGTCTTTGTGATATGCGGGTATAGAAAAGCTTGGGAATTTCAGTGTACCCACTTAAAACTGTCCAATGATACGTGACATGTGTCATCGTCAACACATCTGGAACATTTTATAGACACACTGAGTTGGTTCAACCTGTTTTATTTATAATTAATACTTCAGTACTTGCTACTTGAACATGTTTTGCTTTGATACTGTTTTATAAAATCTATAACATGTTGCCAACTGTTGTACAAAGTGTGTTGTACTACCTTTATTCAAATATCAGAGAAAATTTGAAATGTTCAATATGTTTAAAAATCTAAATAAATTGACGATATTATATTGTACTAACCCGTGTACTTGGGTTTCTAAGCACAGTACACCCAGTACAAAAATGTAGACTACACCACTGCATGGATGGGTTTTGACTGAATTCACAGAAAGTAAACTTTGAACAGAGATCTGTTGGAGTCTGCCCTGATCAAGATGGCTGCTCCACCTTCTCAGTTAACACTAAAAGGGTTGTCACTTAGTCCTAAAGTTCGGTGTGGTAGTAGCCGAGAGTCATCCCCATCACGTGCTCCGAGCATTAAAACGCAAGCTCTTTGAGGACAACTTGGCTCGCAAGCTGGCGGGCGATATACATTCCTTCGTTTCCATCAGGGAAAGGTTTTCGGTGTGATTCTGCACAGCTTTAAAGTTTTTTTTATTATAAAAGCTGGAGAAATGTGATGCAGACAGATCAGACCTGCAGGTTTGTGTCTCTGGTTGCGCCAGAGCTGGCAGACTGGTTCTGTGGTGTATGAAGTTCTGCTCCTCCTGTGGAGCCGCTCTGCATTGCGTCGAAACCCCCCTCTTCCTCCTCCTCCTCCTCCTCCTCCCTCCCTCCCTCTCCTCTCCTCTCCTCCGCTGTTCTCGCATGTTAAACGCACATCCAGACATGCTTGTTGAGAAACCGTTCGATGGCGCTCTTGCGTGTTGTTCACCCATCGTTGTTTCATTTTTTAATTTTTGTCAGTCGTGCTCACCGTCCTCTGCTGGAGCACATTCTGCCCGTCATCCGGTCTCGTGGCAGAAAGCAGCAGATTTCTGCTGATGCAGTGATGTCTGGAAATGTCAAGGGCTCGCTTCTCTCCCCTTAATGTATTTCCCCCCGCAGCTGCAGCGTCAGAGTCTCTCCTGCGGTGGACTTTCAGCCCTCCTCACCACCGTGCCGGCCGGGAAGCCACTTCTGCAGCCTAACAAGCTCATCTTTTTGCTTCTCTTTTCCATCCCAGCTCTCTCTTTTTCTTTTTAAGCCTTATTTTTAGTGAAGTTTACAAGTAAACTAAGGTTTTAGGCTCGTTTTTGTTATTTTATTTATTTTTTTAGTAGGTGCAACCTAAAGTTCCCAGCTGACACACACCGGCTTCCTGCTGTTGGATGATTTTACTCGAGGCTAAGACGCATTCAAGACCTCCAGAGACCAAACTGTAAGTCCCTGAAACTGCTGACTTGTACAAAAGTTATATGTTTGGTGATTTTAGTGTCATCAAGAGCTTTTTTTGCATTCATGCTTTTGCTGTAGTGCTTTCTTCTTGCCTTTATCCATTTAGAAACGGTCAGTACCGGTTTAAATGCATGCAGAAAGCAGGAGTTCCCACAGTGTGTGTTAAATGCTCTGCGTCACACTGCAACTGTCTTTTGTGACAGGATAAATCACAGCCGTGCTCTTTGAATATGAAGAGCCCCAAAGTTTGTATGAGAAACTGAGCAAACATTGCTGCAGAAATTTGACATGAAAAATAAGCCTAAGTTATAGGTTCAAATTACAAATTATGGTCACAATAAACTCACCAGTGAATGTATCTACTAAAAACAAATGGTTGAAACTTCTAAATGGCTGCAGTAATTGTAGCCTCATGAATGTGGAGGAATAAATAAATAAATGAACTGCAGAAAAATGCTGAGCCAGCAAATATCTTGGCTGTTTGATTCCATTATCCCCTTCCTCCCCCCCCCCCCCCCCCTGCTCCCCTCCCTCTTTCTTTGGTTGACAGAAGCAGCAGTAGCAACTGCTGCACATGCACTGGAGAGCAGCAATGGTCAAGTCAGCGAGAGCCGCAGTGGAGCCGCACTGAGGCAAAGCAGCCAACCACCCCCCCTCGCGACTGGGGACGCCTCCAACAAACTAAGGGGTGTGGGAAGCTGAGGAGTGGAAAAATTTTTCCCAACCCTGAATGCCCGGTCAGTCCAACTAACCAACACCACTGCATAATTCCCACTCCTCTTCTTTCTGCTCTTCTTACGTTGCCACCTCCTCCTCCCCCAAAATGACCGTAGTAGCGGGGGACAACATGGATGAGACCTCAGCCGTCCCAGGCCACCCTCAGGATGCCTACCCTCCGGACCACAATGACCATGAGTGCTGCGAGAGGGTGGTCATTAACATAGCCGGCCTCCGGTTTGAGACTCAGTTGAAAACTCTCTCCCAGTTTCCAGAGACGTTGCTAGGCAACCCCAAAAAGAGGATGCGGTATTTTGACCCCTTGAGAAACGAGTACTTCTTTGACAGAAACCGTCCAAGCTTTGATGCCATCCTGTACTACTATCAGTCTGGGGGGCGACTAAGAAGGCCAGTGAATGTTCCCTTGGACATGTTCTCAGAAGAAATCAAATTTTACGAGCTGGGAGTGGACGCCATGGAGAGGTTTCGAGAGGACGAGGGTTTCATCAGAGAGGAAGAGCGTCCTTTGCCTGACAAGGAGTTCCAGCGTCAAATTTGGCTCCTTTTTGAGCACCCAGAAAGCTCAGGAACCGCCAGAGGGATCGCCATCGTATCTGTGATGGTCATCCTGATTTCAATAGTCATATTTTGTCTGGAGACTTTACCACAGCTGAAGGAAGACCCAATGGGTCGATTCGAGACAATTGGGAACATTACTATTTATTATAAACCAAATATCCTCACTGACCCCTTCTTTGTCATTGAGACTCTCTGTATAATATGGTTCTCGTTTGAGTTGATAGTACGCTTTTTGGCGTGCCCAAGCAAACCGGCCTTCTTCAAGAACATGATGAACACGATTGACATTGTGGCTATCATTCCCTATTTCATCACACTTGGCACTGAGCTGGCAGAAGACCCAGAAAAGGAGGGGGTAGGGGAGCAAGCAACATCTCTGGCCATCCTCAGGGTGATCCGTCTGGTTAGGGTGTTTCGGATCTTCAAGTTGTCACGACACTCCAAGGGCCTTCAGATTCTGGGCCAGACCTTAAAGGCCAGCATGCGAGAGCTGGGATTGCTGATCTTTTTTCTGTTCATCGGAGTCATCTTGTTTTCAAGTGCAGTCTACTTTGCTGAAGCAGAGGAGCAAGGCTCCCACTTTGGCAGCATACCGGATGCGTTCTGGTGGGCTGTTGTATCCATGACAACTGTGGGTTATGGGGACATGGTTCCAGTCACCATCGGAGGCAAGATTGTAGGATCGCTGTGTGCGATCGCTGGAGTCTTAACAATTGCCCTCCCAGTGCCTGTCATTGTGTCCAACTTCAATTACTTCTACCACAGAGAAACCGAGGGAGAGGAGCAGGCCCAGCTACTCAATGTCAGCAACCCCAACATCCCCTCTGAAACCAACTCCAGCCGCCGCAGCTCATCCACCGTCAGCAAGTCAGAGTACATGGAGATTGATGGGGATATCAACAATAGCATAGACAACTTTAGGGAGGCAAACCTTAGAACTGGCAATTGCACTATAGCCAACCAAAACTGTGTGAATAAAAGCAAGCTGCTTACAGATGTTTAAACATCATATAGGTAATTTAGGCTCTCTATGGTACAGTCACACATGGGGTAGACCACAAGTTAGGAATGCTTCATTTACTTCTCTCTCCAAGAGCACTCTATGGCATTAGGCCTATAAATATGCTCAGTCATGAAGAAACTCAAGAAAACAAAGCTTTGAAAGTGTTACCCATGTAGATAGAATAATTAATTTTACTGATCCTACAACTATATAGTTAAGTAAAAGAAAACATTGATTATTACATGTGTACATGGCTCCTTAGAGGATGCAGAGCACATCCTGTCTTATGAGACAACGACGTAACAGATTCAAACCTTATGCATGGAGTACAGATGACATTTCAGCAAGTTGCACAATGCACCAGAAATGACTGCAAACATTCAAGCCTCTGAGCCAAGAGGTAACCCGCCAAGAAGTTAGATGACCCCACCTCTCCCTTAATCTTCCTCACGCACCCAACCCCATAATCTTCTATCCTCTCCCTGCAAAGGATCTGCTACTCAGCAAAGCACCTTACAGTAGGAAGACTGACCTCTCTCTCGTTTGGATGTACACAGATGACGATCCGCTTGCTTCATGGACATCTGCAATGCTGCTGTTTTGTGACAGCTGCTGTAATCGTGTTATCACCAAGTGATTCAATGCCATGCCCTTTATAGATGCAACACAGCACAATGATAAACGTAAGCTTCACACGAGCATGATCTAGAGAACTTCCATGTCGATTATCAGCGTGCATGAGACATATGTCACTAAGTGGGAAATGATGTTCATTTCCCCACTTCTCATATGTTGTCATACCTGAGTGCACTGGATAAGTTTTTTATTGTTTACTTATTTCTTTGAATTGCTAATCATTTAGAAGTATAGAAACTGAATGTTAAATCTCTAAGGGAACAGTACATAAATGAGATCATAGCATGAAAAAAGTAACCTGCATTATGGCTTATTGACCAAGGTACTTTTGTATCCTCGTATATTTAATGCATGATGTGAGTATACAGCTTGTTGTAGGTCATGCATTCTGCAGTGCCCTATTGTCAGGGAAACTGAGGAAGTCAAAAATTGGGGTGCTACTGAATTATGATCTAACAAACCCACAGTGAGGATGCAGAGTTTCCAATTTAACAGTAGACAAAAAAATTGACTAGATATTGACATTTTACTACTATCAAAAATGCATAAAGTCATAATAAGCACCAGTTACAGTAATAATGCAGTGCATGGACCTTGTTTGAACAAGAAAAGTCCACATCTTTTTAGTCATGCTTTCATCTTCACTACTAATTTTAGTAAATCTGATTTCAAAACACACTGAAAAGGCTTGATACCAAACTTCATCTCACATTTCAGAGAGTTCTTCCAGTATTAGTTGCCAGTGCCTTTATTCCTTCCACCAACAGGACCGGTGAAAGTGCCTCCGTGGTTTTTGTGTGTGATTGAGCTGTGGGTTTGAAGCGGCTGCTGGTTGGGATGCTAGTTGAGTAAGGTTAAAACAGCAGGTGACAGTGGTAGAAAAAACAAAAGATACAGATGCTGTCATGCACAACTTAGTTTTCATGCTGATATGCACTTAAACATGCCATTAAGCAGCAATGCATTGTACTCAGCACGTTGACCATTTTGATTCAAAAGGGAATGTTGGATTTTTGCTCATGCCTCTGTGTTTTCTTTGTGCGCCATGCATCCTTTCAGGGTCTCTACCTCAGCGAGGTCATTGCAAACTTGCCACAGAGCTGCAACCCCTCAGTGCAAGGCTTCCTACACCTATACACAAACATAAATGTATATAATGCAAACCTTAAGTGTAAACTGCAGAGATGCAATATTGAATGTGACAGTCCCAAAGCCTTTACACAAGTACTTACATAAAGGGCAAGTAGGGTACAAATATTATCCCCCCCCCCCCCCCATTGTTTCCACCCACTTAACGCTGCGCACAATCAGGCCATTCAATTCATTTGTGAAGAGTTTGTTGAAATGACACAACACCCCCTCTCTCCCTTTCCTGTCTTATTGCAGTTATTGGGCATTACAGTGTACATCAAAATGAAGTCCAATTTGAATTTTTAGGTGTTTGCTATTTTTTCCACACTTATTTTTTTTTAATTTTAGAGTGGTGAATTGCAGGTAGATGGGGACAAATTGTTACTTGAATATCTCCAGCTACTGTGTACTGATCTGCTATCAGTTCTGAGAGAACTTCATCCGTAGCGTAGTAAAAGTCTGCACTGTGCTGTGTGCTTTTATTTTATTTATTTTTTTCAAATCTCACTCTCCTGACAGGATTTTAAAAAAATAGCTCCACTGCAGAGCTACTCCAATGTCCGAGCTGTTTCTGTTGGTACAATGGCTGTCCTTTGTGGTGCTAGTACAAGACTACCACTAATGTCTTCCCTACACGAACAAATGAAGCAGAAACAAGCCTTTGTTCATTGTTCAGAAACTGATTGTTCTAATTCTAATTGTTTTCCAAACATCTCGTGTTATTGATGGTTAAAGTTTAAAGAGCTGTTTGTCACTTTGATCGTTGTACTGTACTTTTCAAGAGTCTCATCCTCAGGCAAAAACCTTATGACAAGAAAAAAGACTGGTGATTCAATTTATCTAGGCTTTTTTGTACATTAGGACAGCTAAGACCTAAAAGCATGTACTTTAATAACTTATATAGGACAATACAATATCCTCAAATACAGCTATCAAGAAATTGTTTAAGAGTAGATTTTGATTGAAATAATCCAAAGTGATGAAAATGCAAATGATACCCTCACATTATCAGTGAGGGCATGAACAGATGGTGCTATGCTTTGACTGACCCAAGGAAAATGAGCCTTTACAACAGCAATAGAAAGATGTATAACCTGTTTATGAAATTTTGTTCTTGTTGTTGCTGCTGTATAATGTGAAAAACATGCCTGCAAAGACAATAGAGTTATTTGACGCACTGTAATTTTGATTGTTTGTTCTGGTAGTACGGTAGCAGGGTCTGATCTTAGAGGTAGGCATTTTATTTAGGCTCCCTTCACACTGGATCAAGACCTCATGATGCTCTCCACCTCCAACACCACCTATCTTAACGTGGCTGGATCAGACAAAATTTGGAAAAACAAATTTGGAAAAACATTCAGCTTGAAAGCTTTCCTGATTCTGCTGTGTTGTTAGCGCTTGATTTCACATTTATTACAATTAATTTATCCACTCATTCAAAGTTTAAAACAGCATAATCACCAAATGGAACATTCTTGCAATGATCCTATCACGTCTGCCCTCAAATGTGCCACATCACAGGCCCCATCCTGGCACAACTGACAGCGCTACCACTACTGGTGTCAACCTGCACTCAGTTGTTTCCAGAATCAGAATAAGTTTTATTATAATTGTACTGAAATACAGTGAAATTATGTTCGTACAGTACAAAGATGGGCGGAGTGCACGTTGCTGCTGCTCCAAAAGCACGGCCCCTTATTCTTTAGATAGAAAAGGGGAAAATGCCACGAGGAAAGGATCGTGATATTACACAAAAAATATTTTTTCACACCTTGTCTTTATCAGGACACGATTTAAGACATGAAAAAAAAACTATCAGCAAGCACATTTATAAACACATTACATAATGTATGTATTAGACGGCAAGACGGTGAGATTCGTCCATGAAGCACTTCCAAATAGTCTTGATAAGATGTTGGTATCAGCTGGTACAGCTCTGATAAGCATTCACAAAAGTTCTCTGGGGTGGGCAGTTGCGATAGGAAGAGCATTCTTAGTTTACACATATCCCAGGAGATATTTGATGTCAGCCTGCTTCGAGGCCAAACGGGGAATTCAGATAAGCCACAGTTGTTGATTTTTTTTCAGGCAGACTGTTATTTATCATTAGCCTTGAGTTCTGCTGGTACTTTTGATCCAAAATTGCCAGATTTGTGGGCATTCCACTGGTCTGTGCTTATGAGTCCCCTCCAAGGTCGTCCCCAACATGTTGGCGAGTCCCAGAAGCTGCAAGTGGCCTACGATTCTCGCACATTGCTTTCCTCTTATGGTTTAGCTCGTAAATTAGATGATTTTGAGGCTCTAAGCACGAACCAAACCTTCACACAGGGTCGGCAGCTTTGCCATTGCCAAACTGCTGCCGCTGTTTTCTTTAATAGCCGATAACATAGGTATCTACCGGTGCCAAAAAGCAGAAACCCTGCTATCATGATTCAAATGATATAAACATCTTCGGTGTCCCCGAGACAATACAGAAAGGCACATCAGTTTCCAAACCTCCCACGGATCCATGACGTATCCTGCCGCGTGCGTTTCAGCGGTGCATGAGGGCTCTCCAGGACCCTGTCACTTTGTTGGAAAAATTTTATCGATTGCTTTGAAAGTCCAGCTGACTAGATCCATGACAGTAGTTTACGTTTCGGAAGATGTGTAAATAGGAGTTCCAATACACAGACAGAGAGCAAAAAAGCAGGACGGGAGAGAGGAGAAAGGTGTCCATCTTGCACGAGAGCGAGTGAGGAAAAAGTCTTGTGATCTGTGGAGTTTTTTTACGTATGTTTGGACCTCCACCATCAGATTGAGCCTTTTTGTGGAGGAGGATATTCAGGAGCATAAATGAATGTAGGTGAAGGGGTTTCCTGTGCAAAACTTCAAACACTTTCCAATGCAAGAAGAACTGATCAGGATGAGGACAGGGCATCAGGGCAGCGTGGCCAATACGGCTTCAGAATCTCAACAAACAAGCTACTGTATGTGGTTTTCTGTATGGAAATGCTTCCACTTACCACTCCAACACTTTGCCCAGAATTTGTTACACGACCACCTTATTATGAAATGACAATCTTGCAATAAAAGTTTTCTGCTTGCTCATAAACCCATGACCGATCACATGCAACACTCGGCACGACCCTGCAAAGACAACACACGTTCCTTATAATTTTTCACATATTAAACCAGGTCTTTATCTAGAGTGAAGGGGGCATTAAGGAAATAAAAACAAGATGTTTAAAAGA